GCTCGCAATTGCATAAGATAATATTGTGAGGGAGCGGGTCGCATAAAACAATGTCAGTTGGTAGGAAATTTTGAATTCTGCCCGGGTGGCGGCCGAAGCCTACTCTTACCGATTTTGGACCACCAAAGGATCTTTAACATGCACAACTTGCGCACGGGGCGTCCGTTATTTTTCGCCCTTGTCCCTGAAGGCTAGGTGTAGATCTTTCTTACGATAGGATCAGGGGTGTGGCTGGAAGACCGCAGTAAAAAGGAGCCAGGGAGTAGCAGTAGAAAGGCTGCAGAAATAGATGTCTAGTTTAAAGAAATTTGACGTCAAAAGTGTTTTAGTTTCACAAAGTGTCCAGCTTTTTCGAAATACAGTTCTTTGAATATCCCGGTAACAATTACAAAATTTTTACAATTTTGATAGAGAAGGTAGAGCGTTTTGTTTTGGGACCTAGTTGACTCATTGTATTACTGACTCAGAACGGCCAAATGTCAGATAAAGCTTTGTAATTGGTCGCTTTTTAAGCACAAGGGGGTTATCCCGAAAAAAAATGCTGTCTTGAGAAAACCGATGGTAAAGTTTTTTTGCCCCTTGTTCAGTTTCTTTAAAAGACAAGGAGAGTTTTCACTATAACCAAACAAATATACACACCAATGAAACCAAACTTCTCCTATAGGTAGGGCAATGCCCACTTTTGGTGTAGGTCAAAATTTCTGGAAACCCCTGAAATCTGGGTTAGCCCGTTTGTCCTTAAAAACGACCTATTCTAAGGTAGCGATTTGATTCCCTTTGTTTTATCGGGTCCCGCAAAAGTCCCCCCTTCACTATACTGCCTGTATCTATAGCGTCAATAGTGGAGCGGTGATAGGCACTATACTGCCTGTATCTATGGCGTCGATAGTGGAGCGGTGATAGGCACTTTGCTGTGGCATTTAGTTGACCCCTAGGTGACCCCGACCCCACTTCGGTTCCCGAGCAGGGACTATTTTTTAACCCTTCCAGCCCCAGCCATTTTTGTGCACTCCCTAACCCCAGTCCCAGCCAATACAGCAGTAGTTCAGAAAAAGATGCATTATTTCTAAAAAGTGATGTAGTATCTTTGTAATGTAGCTTTGATAATAACATACCAATTTTTAAAGGTAAATGAACAAGTAATAAGAAAATTAAAGTTTAATTAAGTTAGCTAATTTCGAAAAATGCGCGAATTCGGTTCCCCCCGAAACTGAGAATATACGCTCTTGGGACGGAGGGAGGTACAACATCTCAGTCTTTCTTTTTCTTCTTCTTTTTCCTTGTTCTCGATGACAGCAGCTAGACAGTCAGTCAGTCAGTCCTATGTCGCGCACAAACTGTGCAGTCGGCTTCAAATCTGAGAGACTGCCGTAGAGCTTTCTCTCAAGAGCTGTCACATTCTGCCTCGTCTGTGTACATGAGTCTTTCTGTTTTGTTTCCTTCCAGCATCATTATTATCTCAAGACGGACGATAAACTCGGAGGCCCGCCTCTTAAATAACCTAATAGTGTTGATAGGGGCGTTAAACCCATACCATTTTATTTATTATCTCAGACATATACCCCAATCTTGACCCCGTAAAAATGCACACGCATTGTGACTTCAGACTTTAGCCCCCTTCCCCCCTTTCACGCACCCGCCATAAAAAATAATTAATGAATAAATCATATGTTTAAAAAGGTTTTTTAAAATGTAATAAATAAGTGAATGAAAATTTTGAAAAATGAAACTCAATTCTAATCCGGCCTTTTCTTTGTTTGTCATGTGTGTGTGTGTGTGTGTGTGTGTGTGTGTGTGTGTGTGTGTGTGTGTGTGTGTGTGTGTGCGCGCGCGCGTGCACATGTGCACATGTATTGTGTGCGCGCATGTGTAAATGTGTAAGTTTGTATGTGCGTGGGATGGGAAGGTTGGAGCAAGGAGGGGAGAAGGTGGATCGTGATTGCGATAGATTGTCTCTCGGGTCTCGGAGATTTGGAAAAAAGGATTACCACAAAGACTTGGAGGAACTATAATATATAGTTACTCCAAGCACAAAGACACTAAGGAGGAGGTGGAAGAGGAAGACATTCAGGGGCGATAAGTCTCTCCTCACACCCACGGATTACTTTCACTCATAAGGGGGAACTAACTCTCGGCCTAGGTCTTGACTCTTGTGCCATCAGGGGACGCTATCAGCACGGTCTCGGGAGATGCTGGGGGGATCGATTTCCCTCCCCTTTAAAAAAAAGTCACGTGAGTGTGAGTCATGGATTTCATTGGTCGTCGTAATATCATAACATTTGGGATGGCGGGAGAGAGAAAGAGTAACGAAATGGGTGAGATGGAGAGGCATCTAATGGTCCGGGCGAGGCACGCTCTGATTTATCGTAAAGTTCTCGTGTGATTGGATCGGGGAAGTAAAAAAGTTGGGAATAAAAAAAGATACTCAATGCGCACCGCCCTTCACGTCCAAACTTTTTATTTTGGTCTCTTTTCCACATTCAGATGCGTGCACATAGTCGCGCACATGTACATAGATTCTACGCAGATCTACACACAAAGACACCCTCCCTCCCCCCTTTATCCAA